ATGGATACAAGAAAATGCAGTGAACATGGATGTGTCAAGTTACTGTACTACGAACTTAGCGAAAGTATATGGGGAGGATCTCCAGTAACATAGCAGCTTGCAAGCAGCCTTAAAAGTAGAGATATTACTTGAAATGTTGTTGTTACTTCTGGTTGAACAAAACCATTGTTGTATTAAACAGTCGGTTCAGATTAAAAGGGGCGCCGTTACAGTTTTTCCCACCACTTGGAGTCAGCTCTGTATTAAAGTAATCACCTAGTACCTTTACCCATGCAGAAAATTCCCCTACTAAACTAAGAGAAAGATATGACATGGATGTAACAAGGAGAGCAAACCTTGATTCATTTTAGTATTCTTCTTTGCCTTCCCAGTTTTAGATCTTGAAACAATCAAGCTGAATTTTTCAAGTTTAAATCAACTTAATACACCATTACTAGCAAAGCACCAGAGGACAGTAAACAGTTTCTGTGTAGTCACTGCAAAAAGTAGTTTCCTATTTTAAGTAAAAAAAAAAAACATTTTTAAGCCTAAAACTCTTAGATGGCTGTCCATGGGCTAAGAGTCATTCTCTCTTAACTTGAGGGTGAAAGCCCTTACTCAAGTAGAGTAAAACGATAAAGCTTAGTGCTTCACTTAATTAAGGCTGTTAATTCACTTGTTCAAGTATTGTTGACCAAATTGAAGAGATCTAACGACATTTGATGAAGTGTCATTTACTCAAATTTAAGAGAATAATTTCTTGGTTAAGTAGGCTGTAAACCGAAATGTAGGAAACAGCCTAGCCTAGATTAAGTGTCACATCCATACAATGATGTGAGAATAAGCTTTGTTAATGGGTATATCCCCTCATTTAAGGGAATACCCCCCCCTTCTTCTAAAGACTGTGCACTTTAGTCAAAGGAAGCCTTCTTGTTAAAAAAAGAATGTTTTGCACATTGCTTTCTAACATTTTGGGAGGGTAAAATCAAAATGTTTGTGATAGTACAAAAAAAAGAGGTGAATGCTTCAAAAATCTATTAATCTATAGGGAAAAATCCAAGCAAAATAAAAATTGCACACCAGGGAATGAAAAACAACAATGTTACTTTTGTCTAGAATGATAACAAGACTACACAGCAACTGCAGTAGCAGATCCAGGGGGAGGGTCCGTGGTCACCTCTGCTTTCTCAGCTGGTCGACAATTTTGGTGACAACTCGGTCGATAACCACGTTCTTTCAACCAGTCAAATCCAGTGAAATTGAAAATGAAATTCACACCCATTGACGTGTGTAAAATTACGCGACAGTGGAAATCCACTTTTAATTTCTCCATATTTCTGTTATTTTTGCTTTGGTCAAAGAAGACGACGATCTCAGTTAAGTTTTTGTAGTCGAAGCAAATCTATTTCGTAATCTTTTCAGAGCATTTCTTTCACTCTTCATACAGATAGTGTATCATCTAAAATTAACTTTCAGTTTTCGACAAAGCTTTAGCCCCATAATTTGACAATTTTAATTTTTCTCATCACAGCGTTACCAGATGAGCTTCTATGCGTCTTATTCAAGTATTTTAGTCTTAAAGAGATAATAAACAATCTAAGGCTCATATGCAGAAGATGGAGATGTATCTCTGAAAGGGAGATGTATCTCTGAAAGTGACATGTTGTGGACCAATGTTTGCCTTGATGAATGGGGCATCACTCATTTAAGTGAGGATCAGTTAAAGACAATCATAAAGCACGCACAGGGTTTCAGAAATTTCTCGGTAGCCTATATTAATGTCAAGAAACATCAATTCAAGGAGACAATCTACAGCTCATGCTATTTGTAACAGTCTATGTTTGTCTCATGGACTTAACTATTTAAATTTGAGTGGCCAGTTGGTATCTAATCTGACCTTCTTGCAAGGCACGCGCCAGTTGGAGTATTTGATCCTAAATGATTGCATTGCATTTGAAGGACATATCCCCGATTTCTTTTTGTAAAAATCTAACTTTCCTTTCGCTTAACAGGGTACTTATTCATGAGGGTGAGCTCTTGCAGTCTGTACTGCCGCTGTCAAATCTGTT